TCGAAATAGATATATACGTAAGTAGCAAGAAGAACTCAGATTTAGTGCTTTTCATGAGCTTCAATCCAGCCAGTGAAGTACATTTCAGGGTTTTTTGCCCACTTTTATTCAAAAGTAAAGTATTCAGGGGGTTTCAGTATCAAATAGAAATTTTCCAGGCTCCTGGCTATCCAGACAGCATAGTCCTTGAGCCTTTCTCCGCACAGATGCATCACATTATCTCATTCAGGCTTGTGTCAAACCACGTGCCCAACTTGGGGTTGCACAGGCTCCTGTTTAATTGCACAGGGGGAGATTTACTAAAACTGGTGCACACACAATCTGGCGCAGTTGTGCAAAGTAACCAATCAGTTTCCAGTTTTTATTGTCAAAGTTTAATTGAACAAGCTATACTGAGAAGCTGATTATTTACTATGCACAGCTGCACCAGATTCTGAGTGCACCAGTTTTTAGAAATCTCCTCTCTTAGGTGATACCTTGGTTCAAGCAGATTGCCTTTCTGTGAGGCCAGACAAGGCACTCTTCCAGCATCTGTTCATACACACTGCTCCTGCAACAACTTGTCTCCAGGGGAAAGAGCCCTGAAATGTATACAGCCTCTATACTAAAAGATACTAAAAGGGTTGTGCATGCTGCACAATCAGGATGCTGGTTTCCAGTAAAATGTGGACACGGGGTTAGAGGCTTCATTCCTCCCAGTCCCTACAAAGCCTCTGAACTCCAGAACCCAACCCAGCAGTACCAGTCCTGGAGAAAATGGCAAAACCCATTTTCTCCATTCAGAACAGACATCCTGGAGCCCAACAACCTGCATAAGTGAGAACCCTGATTAACATCTAACCCTTCTGACACCATGACATGGCACATCACTTTCACATGTGTTAATTAATCAATATAATGAGCTTCATTGATTGACCGTGTGCATGGTTGATAATAATAAATATATCAGGCTGAACAAAAATTTTGGCTTTATCTACTGTTACCAGACCCAGTGTTAGAACAAGGTAATTTACCATTCAAGGTAAAGATGCCAACTGCATCGCCTCCTCATTTCTATATTTTTAGCATAAAAGTCAGAATGGTAATTCAAATGCATTAGTGTCCCTGCTTTATAGACCCCCTTTCCCCCATCTGTTTTTCTAAGATTATTAAACATTTTCCTGAAGTACCATTAAAAAAACATAATTTAGATTCTTGAACTCTGCAAATGGACATGCCCATATTATCTGCTCGTGTTCTATCAAGCTACAAAGTGTTTAGTCTAGGTTCAAGAGGTAAGACATGCATGACTATGACAGCACTGAGTGCTACACAATGACAGCTAATACGAATTTTAGCATGCTTGCAGATTGGTATAGATAGGACAATCCAAAATGTGTATAGAAGTAAAACACATCATTTAATGACATGATGAAAGTGCAGTACGGTTCTGAAACTTCAGACAAATGGAAGCAGATCTGTTATTGGTTGCCATGTACTCCTGAACACCTCTGCTCTTTTCTAAATGGACATATAACTCTTCTGTGAAATGTTCCAAATGCTGAGTGGACGTATGTTATTTTATGAATAGTTTGTCTTTAACAGGCTAGTTAACCTTTATCATGAGAGTATGACTTACAGTTGACTAAGTGAAGATTGGGTTTTGTCCTGTGCCACTAAAGCAATAACAGACATTTATGGAACAAGAGTGAAATCCAGGCTTTTCTCAGTGTACGAGAATTTGACCAGAGAAGGGCGCTGGAGTCAAATAATTGACAAGGCTGGTTAAAAGAATTACAACTGCGTCTGCAAAATCAATTTGTATCTGATGTGTGTTCAGAAAATAGGATTAGGTTGAGGAGTGGCGTGTGGCAAATATGGCCCCAGATTTCAACATGTAAACCTTGTTGAAAATGTCTTGCAGATGTTATAAACACAGCTCAGTATTGGTGCACTCAGAGTCATGCCCTTCATGCCATCATTGGCATATAAAAACTCACAGACATTCAGAGACCTTCTATTTGTTTTGTAATAGGAAGCTTAATTTTTTGTCTAATTACCCCTCTAGTCTTGGGGATCATTACATCTCTGTGGAAGATTGACAGCTCTTAGCAATGATTTTTCCTATCACCAGAGACAGATTAAGGCAGAATAGGGCACTAGGAAAGATGGAAGCCTTGTACTGACCTGGTTTGCCCCTATAAACACCAATTACCTACATGTACATTCCCCTTTGTAAAATAGCAAGTAGGTGTGTAGTTTTAACCTATCTCCCTGATTTATTGCATGGAATGAAGATTGTAACTAGGCCACTTGGACATCCTCCAGACCCTGGGCTCCTTTCTAAGTTTCCATGTGGATGATCCATCTATGCTTATACATCTCTAAGATGTATCAGGAGATAATGCTTTAGGGGAAGTGATATAAAAACTTCCAGTGCTCCCTAGAAATAACACTGAGCCCTGAAAACTGTTGATGTGAGTAGACATTTCAGTAAGTCCCTACCTACTTATGGAGATCGTTTGTCAGTCCAACTTGTTCGTATGTCCAACAAAGATCAGTACTTGCAGACAATAGCTGCAAGCACTGAGTTCTGGTGGGGAGATTGCTGCCGGAACATTACATGTGTTGGAGCGGCGATTTGTTAGTTTTTTTGCGTACAGGCCGCTGGGTGTGTGTACTCGGCTTTAAATGACTGGACATGTTCACATCTTTAAAGTTCACAACTTGAACATTCATATGTAGGGGACTAACTGTATGTGCACTATTCGGAGAAAGGAACTAAAAAAAAAGTGAACATTGTTGCAACTTTCAAAGGTAATGGAAATCAAAGAAAATAAAAGTAACTATTTGCAAACAAAGTTTTGTTATTGGACATCGGCCCTGCAGTTGCCAATTCAAGGAACTTGCATTGAGACCAAGATCAAAGGGAGAGAGATGCTGGAACCCAAGTTAGGTTCTGGGCAATGAAGGCCAATGAAGGAGGTTTGCAATAACCTGAGGCTAGTGTGAGACTAGTGAGTGAATCTCATACAACAGACCTATGGGACCTATGGGAGGAAGCAAGCATGAAATAGGGAATTCATCCATGAATACTTCTTGAGAAAGCAAAAAGGTGGTTGGCCTGAAGAAAGCACTAATACTAAAGTATGTTTTGGCTCTGGTTGATAATGTTTCTATGTCCTGGGTTTCTACTATTCCACTTTTAAGTGCATTATAAAGGTTTTTCTCATTTGAGTTTGCTTTACTATACAGAAGAGTGATGCCTGTATATTTGTTATGTGGATGATGTGATCAAAGGTATGACCTTGAATGCACAAACATTGGGTTATATTTATAATATCTGAGATTTTTTGCATTTTCTACAAGACATGCATGTTGAAAATCAGTGCCATATTTACCAAAAGCACACCTAAGTACATTACCTCCTATTTTCCAAACTTACATCAGATACATATTGATATCGCTGATGCAGTTTGCCCCACTACTTCTTTATACTCAACCATTTCTAGGCACATACTTGGTTCCTGCTCCAGTTTACAATGATTTAAGGCAAGGGCACCAGATGCTTTTTTGTATTTTTTACAGTTTATTGAACATGTTAAAGTAGAGTTTCACCCTATTTTGCAACCATGACCACATTTGTTGCTGATCCCTGTGCCATTAGTTTTTGGATGTTGTAACTTTTTTGTTTAGTTTTAGTGCCTTTAAATGTAAGAAATCGCTCCACTTTCGTCCTACTTTGCTGCAGCTAGTTACATTATTTCCTTTCTCCCGTTGGCTCCTGGGATTCCAGTGTCATCAATTCCAGGAGTCAACAGGCATACTCCGCTTCTAGCATTGCGTTATTGCAAAACCAGAAATTACACAATGCTAGGCTGAGGTAGGCGCATGATTGATTGACAGGTTGCCATAACAACAGAGCGGGAATTTCCTCTGATACTGCCGTTGGAAACCTGCAATACACATAGTGTGCTGTGATTAATTTTCACTGCACATGCACAAGATCGGGAGGTGCATGCTGGGTAACCAGCTGCACCTAATCCGGGAACAAACTCCTAGCAGGCTTCAGATGCCCACACTCTGAATAGCCGCTTGCATGATCCAGGGAGTTCTGTAAGTAATGCTAGATTTTATATAAAAAAAAAAGATTACAAATATACAGTATATTGATTCAGAGTATAGTTGCAGCAACAATTGCAGGGGTGATTTTTTTTTTTGAATTTGCAAGATGACTGGAGCTTTGCTTTAACATTGGAGAGACAGTTTAATTAGGATATCAAAAAGAGGAGTACCCAGACAGTAGACAGTTCAAGTTATTTAAAGGATTTCTGTCTTCTCTAACATACTCACAAGCATGGAGGATGAGAATCTTAGAACAGCAGTTCTTATAAATTCTCTCGGTTAGGCTTCCTGGGATAGTAGTCCAATTGAGCTTTGTGAGCTGCCAATCTAAATATCAATGGATCCCAGTTCACTGTCTCCTAGACTTTTTTCAGGATTCCAGGCTTTCAAATATTTATCAAGAAGAACTCATGGTTTTAAATTAGCGATTGCTCTATCACAACCCACCAGACTCACAGTGACTGGTAGATAATATTGCTGCACAAAGCTTAGGGATGCTGGTCACCTTCACTGTACTGTTCTGGGTCCCTTTGCCATATGTGCTTGTATCACTTAGAAGACCATACCTAATAGACTTGGCAATTTAAATGAGACCTGCAAACAAATAAAATCCAATGCTATATATTTTTAAAGAAAAGAGTTATTTTAATGCATAAACCACAGCACAAAGTTCATAACCCCCACTGAACAATACATACTGTGCAAAACTAATCAATGGAAAATGATGTCATTCAGTTTTATGGACGCCAACAAAACAATTAAAGATCACAAATATTATTCTGGCAAAACCCACAAAAATTGTGGTAATAAACATTTTGGAAGTTGAGCAGTTAACTGTTTAGGTGTGATCCACTGACTTTTGTTTTTCTATTCAGTGACCAGTTGCAGAGGATTTTTTTTTTTTTACTGCATCAGGCTACTAGCAATGGCCTATATTGTGTGATCTGACTGCAGATGAAAAATATCTGTAGATGAATCAGACCTGTCTTTCTAGTGTTTACATTTAATCAGAAAAAATACAAAGAAACAAAGTTTCTAAAACATTTTTTGATGGTAAAATTATTTTGACTTTTGTAAATTAACCACTTGCCCTCCTGAGGATTTCCCCCTTCCTGACCAGGCCATTTTTTGAGTTACGGCGTTGTGTTACTAGAACTGACAATTGCATGGTCATGCAACACTGCACCCAAAAGAAATTTACATATTTTGTTCCCACAAATCAAGTTTTCTTTCAGCGGTATTTAATCCCCTGTGCATTTTTTTTTTTGCACTATAAAAACAAAGACCAACAATTTTGAGAAAAAAAACATTTTTGACTTTTTGCTATTACACATGTCCAGTAAAAAAATTTGATAAATCAAATTTCGTCATAAAGTTAGGCCAAAATGTATTCTACTAAATGTCTTTGCTAAAAAAAATCCCAATAAGTGTACAACATTAATTAGTTTACATGAAAGTAATAGTTTTTACAAATGGCATTCTGACACTGGGGGGAACTGACTTGGTGTCACTGACATCCCCGGTGACACTAATACAGTGATCAGTGCTAAAAAAAAGCAATGACACTGAACTAATGGCACTGGGCAGGAAGGGGTTAACATGAGGGGCGATCAAAGGGTTAACTGTGTGCTGTTTCACTATGTGCTGTGTCTGTGTGCTTCACTGTAAGGACACTGCTTTGCATGGCTGTGCTGCGCACAGCCATCCAAAGCAGTGTGCACGAGCTGACAGGGAGGCAGGGGCGGACTGACCATTCGAGCACTCGGGCACTGCCCGAGGGCCCGGGGTCAGTAGGGGGCCCCATGAAATGCCCCTGGTACCTTTTTATAGGCTTTTTTGGGTGTGCTTTGAGTGTGGGCAAGGACACAGGGGCCCCATGATCCCCTATTGCCCGGGGGCCCCATGAGTTGTCAGTCTGACCCTGCAGGGAGGAGAACTGTTTTGTTTACAAACAGTTCTCTTCCCCGTCGGAGATGCTCGGCAATCACCGGACGCCAGAGAGTAATCACCGGCCTGGACCCAGTGATTGACAGCCGTGGCCACGAATGGCGGTGCGGGTAGGGTGCGTGCACCCCCAACCCGGAAATGCAAAAATCACGTATATATATACACGTGATTTTGCGCACTCGTGCTGCCCTGTAGCAGTATTTCTGCTATACAGCAGTCGGGAAGCGGTTAATATAAAAATAAACAAACAATAAAAAAAACGAGTGGTTTCCTTAAAGGATTAGTTCGCCTTATTATAAAATAATAAATGCACATGTTTTTGTAGGTATGCATTATTTTTTTACTTGGAGCCTATAAAGCATTGCACTACTGACTGTGGGTGCTATGCAGGACTCCTGCAGACTTATCAGTGTATCTGTCTGCTTGTATCTCGTACAAGCAAGCAGATACACACTGACAGGAAGACTCAATGAACTACCAGAGCGCTAAACCGGCGACATGGTGCTTCATTGCGAACTACAAACTGACAGCCACAAAGGAAGTCGGTACATGTAGTTTCCCATTCACAGAACTCTGTGAAGGAATGCCACAGGATGTAACCTGGCATTGCAGTGCAGTGGGCACATGATACATCTTCCAACCATGTTCCCAAAGGTAAACGTATGTTCAATGTCTGGGTCTCTACACCCAACTTGTAGCCTGGGGCCACTGCAAAGAGTAGACTGTTCTTCTTACCCAAGTGCTTACTTTAAGCAAAGTCAAACTCTGTTTTAAAAAAAATGTGTTCTTAAAATCTACGTTTAACTAAAAATAAAAACATAAAAATCATCAAATGGGACATACAGTTAGTATGATGTGCCTCTTGTGTTGATTCTTCTTTCAGTGGAGATCTTCCTCTGTCCTGCGGTTAGGGACGAATGTGTGGAAGTGAACTGTCTATGTCTTGGGACACACATACAGTATATCTGCAACTGAAGGTTGAACGATGTTGGGGTGGGAATCAACCTGGAACAGGGCTAGCACTAGACCATGATGTAGTGAGTTATGGTGAGCAATACATTTTTTCATCTGATAAATAATTGGAGTTAGGCTTTACTTATTAGAGTACATAAACTGATATTTTCCAATACAGGTAAAAGCTATGCGGCCAAATCGCTTCTTTAATTTCTTGGGGATCTGAAAGCTGAGATGTGCCTGCTGGGTCAGTACCTCTCTGATAACCACTGGAGACATTACAAAGTCAAACAACTGGCACTTGTTTGTCTTGATGTTTTTAAAATAATTGAATTAGTGGAGAATATATCAGCCAGAATGAGATCCCAGGTAATGGCTGTAATTGGCAGACAGAAAAGTTGGGAAGATCTGGCTATTGTGGTTCCTATATATATATATATATATATATATATATATATATATATATATATATATATTCACAATAAATTAAATGATGCAACTGGCCATAATCTTCATACACAGAAATGTTAGTTTTGGGTGGAATGACCTATCAGAAAATTTTGTGGTTTGGTAAATCCTGTAAGAAGTGATATTTGATCACAGTTGTGTAAAGAAGATGTTGCTTAACTTCGTGTGATAGTTATTAAGAAAAGAATGACTCATCATTAAAATCACAAGATAATTATTAAGTAAACTACACAAAATGGGAAAAGTGAAAGAGTTCATCTATTAAGTTGGGGACTCTATGGCATCTCTTTTCTTCAGCAAATAAAACTGCAGTATAACATATGGCCATCTAACATTTTGCTGAGCATTTAGTCATTCCTTTTTACACTAAGCAGACCCAAGAGTCATAAGCACTAAGCAGACCCCGAGATCATATTTGGAGATCATTCCTTTTCCCAGCATACAGTGCCTTGAAAAGTATTCATACCCCTTGAAATTTTCCACATTTTGTCATGTTACAACCAAAAATGTAAATGTATTTTATTGGGATTTTATGTGATAGACCAACACAAAGTGGCACATAATTGTGAAGTGGAAGGAAAATGATAACACCACTGCATTGCTGACTGAAGGAAATTTTTCCAACAAGCTTGTTTGAAAGAAGTTGATCATTAGATCAGCTTAAGTGGAATGGGAATGGCCGTAGATGGATCAAAATTTGGCTGGTCCCTGCTTAACTGGTGAATTTCGATCCATCTATATCCTATCTATATCATTATTATGGCATGATGTTCCCCTATATGGATTTTCTCTTTTTTTGGGGAAAACAGCCTTCCAGAGTAAATGGTAACTTTGTAAATTGAGTGTAATTGTATGCTGATCTGATTTCCAAATTTCTCCTGTGTTTTATTGCAATTCTGTAAATAACACACGTTTTTGTCCCTGGGTAGCTATGCTCCTTTATTCCATTGTATCTATGGAGGAAGCCTTGGTTATCATCCAGGTTGGGCTTCAAACATGTCTGCCTTTGTTCATCTCAATTACATAGGGATATGGAGCTTAGTAGCTTACAGAATGAAGAGAACATTAGTTTATGATTCCATGCCAACTCACAGGAACTGACAAGAACACTGCATGTCCGGTAACTTGCTGAAAAAGTTCTCAGCTTTAACGAAAAACAGTTTATGGTAAATTTCATGGAACACCCTCTAATGTACATTACATGTACAGTGTTTTTTTTTTTGTTTAGTCAGAGGCTAGCTAGAAGCCTGGGTATGAGTCAACCTGGGAGTGAGTCAGTGAGGTTACTTCAGGTTAGGCTGGAGGGCTCTGCAAGTCAGTTCTCTGATACCTCCCCAGCCTAACCTGAAACTTGGATACATTTCTAGAAGCAGTGGGTGGGGTGAGGAGGGGCTGATCTGTATATTTAGGGGAATCTGGCCAATCTCCAGCCAGGAAGTCTGGCATGGTGGCTAGGTCAGCCCTTAAATATGAGAGAGCCTGGTCAACAGGGGAGTCGAGAGGAAGATGGAGTTAGTAAATGCTGCTGGTGTGGAGCCTGAGATGGGGCCCAGAGCAGGAGGGTCTGCTGGAAGCTGCAAAGAAGGACCTCCACTCTTCTACAGTCTACTGGGGAAAGACAGCCTGTCAATAGAGAAGAAGCCAGCCCAGCCATGAAATCAGCTTCAACCTTTAAAGCTAAAAGAACAGGACAGTATGAGTACATCTAGATCCCCTGTGCCAAAGAAGGGAGAGGGTTATCATGTGCAATACCCAACTAGTTCTCCCTGGAACTATATTCTCTGGGTGTCTCGGAAGCCCTCTCCCAGGGATACTCTCAAGACAGTCAGGTGGATGAGTAGATTTTCATCTGGGGTCTGAGGAGGTTAATTTAGGGGACCAAGTGCTCCCCTCCATGTGCTGATTTGTCAGAAGGGAAGTGCCACTTCTGAAGGAGTAAGGAGCCTAGAATCCACTTTGTGCTGTTGCTGGATTCTTGCAATTTATCCTAAGAAGTTTGTCCTCCAAGTTCCATTGGGCATCCCAAATACCCCTAGACCCCATCCAAGTTGTTAACCCCTAATAAAACAACAAAAAAAAAAAACAAGCTCACGGACTGTTTACTGGCTTTCGATGAAAGTGTGGAAAATGCACGTTGCCTGGCTGTGCTGAGCTTAGAAGGACCCAAAAACTCAGCGACTTTCAAGAGGGTAGCGCTACATGCAGTATATTGCATTTTTGTTCTTGTGTTTAGTTATCCTTACATGTAGCTGCACAGAGTGCAGATGTGCTGACCAAGAACATACTGAAAGAAAGAGCAAAGTGCACTGATCAGTGTTCTGCTGCTCCTTTGTGATCCAATCAGCAAGCTGGAGGTGTGTTCTTAAAGAGGTAGTAATCCACACTTAAAAAAAATCTTTTCTCCTGCAAAGTAATGTCATAATGTGCTAGTATGCATTGCAATGAAGTTCTCCAGCGGTGCGCTGCCACCACTGCAGAGGCTTCCATCTTCACCCAGTCATTCTTCAGGATTCACAAGCTCCGTGCCGTGATGACGTCACTCCCGTGCATGCACACGGGAGTCCCGGGCCACAGCTCAGTACGGTGAAGGAACGGCACAACCATACAATTCCTTCAGAGCGCATGTGCCAGCTGTCAAAAGGAGCCAATATCTCCTAAATGTGCACCGATATTCATTTACCTACATGTAAGCTTTATTATATGAAACATAAATAAACAGAGCAAAAATAGATCTCTAAATCCAATCAAAAAAAAATATTATATAAAGTGCAAAATAAATATATCATAAACCATGAATTAATAGTGAATATCCCCAGTAGTATTAATATTAAACACCAAAAGTCCGTGCATAATAAAAATCAGAAGTTCCAAAAATTCTTCAAATACAAGGAAAACTTCCACCTTCCACCCGTGCAAACCAGCATCAAATGCACTCACCAGAACTTAGTGAGTGAGAAGCCTTTAGGGATTTTAACCACTTCCCGACCGGCCGTTGTATATAAACGGCCGGACGGTGGCACTGCAGGGTCGGGTGGCCGTCTATAAACGGCCTCCCCGCACCCTGCTTGTGCGCGCACCCTGGGAGCGCGCAGCACCGCGATCCGGTGCCCGCTGTGTCCTCCGGACACAGTGAAACACCGATCGTCGGACGAGACCTCTGTACGAGGTCCCGATCATGTGATCACTGATTGGCCAATCAGTGATCACATGCAAAGTAGTAAGCAAGATGTCACTTGTGACATCATTGCTTACTATGTGTGAAATCTGTGAATGATCACAGAGGTCACATGGTACAAGGCTATTCACAAAAGCCTTGTACCATGTGACAAGCTGTGACCAATCACAGCTCACTCTGTATTTCTCAATG